CTGTTCTCTGTTAAATATTATTCTTGCATGATTCTTAGATCCCTGGAACAATTACATACCAAAAACCAAGTGTGCTAAGACAGTTGCTCTCAACAAAAGTCATATTGTTCTAAAATACATAAGGACATTATTAATGGAGAAAATCATTGTTAACAACTTTGTCTCGCAATCCCAAAACTCGGTTAATTTAAATATGGTTATGAATGCTCAGACACATCTTTACACACATTAAAAGGCCAAAGCCATCTGCGTTACTTGTAAAGACGGGGTGGTTAACTCACTTGGCGCTGGCTTTGTAGTCCGCCGGGATAAAGCTGATACAGATAGGCCACCTTAAGAGGGAAAGGAGCGGACCTAATTATTTCCTCAAGCACACACATTAACAAACAAATAAAAACATCAGAACACTAGGGAAATGTTTTTTTTTATTATTGTGTTACGGTTTGTCAGAAAGCCCGGCTGTAGGACCAAGAAGCTTGAGCTCATCTCACACATGACACACAGACCTGTCTGACTCTGATGTGGAGCGGCTGCCGTACAGAGGGGAAACGGTCAATTTGCTCCGCATTGCGCTGAGCTTGTGCCCCGAGAAAACACGTAATCGTTACCACGGGTATTATCATCATTATACGTGCATTTGTCAGACCCCGTTATCCAAGCGGACTTACAGAAATGCAGGGGGATGAGACGAAATGGGCGCAATTTGCAAAATGATTACAATTAACGTCAACGCTAGAAAGAAAAGCGAACGGCTGGCGCTGCAGTCGTGTGGATGCAAATCCACCTTTTGGTGAGGGACAGGAAGGTAAAGGATGAAGGTACAGTAGATAAAGGCGGATGGTCAGCTACAGAAGGCACCAGAGCATTTAAATGACTGGGTAATGAATCTGGGAATCAATAGACAAGAATCATATAGTTGGCAAACAACAAAATATATTTCTTAGCACTGATAAAGACTCTTCTTACTGCATATGAAAGGGCAAAAAAACAACAACAACCATCTATCCTAGTGTAGGAAACTGGTACACATTCTAACACGTTAGCATTTTCTGTAGCAACTTTCCTTGAATCTAAGCAGCTGGCCGAAATCAAGTCAGATGAAAATTAGGATGATTTAAAAATACATATATAATCACTTTGACAATAAATTATGATTTTAACAACAACAACAACAACAACAACAACAACAACAACAACAACAACAACAACAACAACAACAACTTTAGGTGTCTTAAAAAGGTCCTAATAACATATTTTGTATAGAAGGACCTATGGCCGTTGGAAAGACGAAGAAAATCCTTTAGCAAGAAATTTACACCTCTGTCATAACTGCAAATGGTGTTCAATTACAGTAGGTACGCTAGCCTGAACTGGAGCGTAAGAGACAGTTTTAATAAACTTTTCTTACTTAAAAGGTATCACATTTGAGGACACGTTCTCCCTGAAAAAAATACTTATTTAAATCCACAATTTTCGCACTTGCTGCATATCCAAAGCAACTCTGCAAAGAAGGTTCGTCTATTTACGGTGTTTTTATGTACCACAAAGCCATGATACCATTTACCACAAGGTGGCAGTCGCCTGATAATTGGAAAAAAAACCCTCACCGTGTCACAGCCCTGCGAAAGACATGCCCTAAAACAGCTTGCGTTATCTCGGAAAGCACGAACAGCACAAGGTGAGCGCTTGAATTCATGGTTTCTCTAAGCTCAATGCGTGCTAAGTGTACTTTGTTGAGTTTAAATAACCCACGTCTTTTGTTTTGAAAAGTAAGTTTGTTTTGATTCCGGCTTGGCTAAATAATTGGCCTAGTTATTCTATTATAAATTAGGTCCAATAGTTTTAACACTGTGTTTAAAACTGAAGTCTTGCTGATAGTGATGCATTATATTTTAGATAGATACTTTATTGATCCTGTAGACTACAGTGCTCCTGTAGACTTTAAAGACTTTTCTTTAAAGTCTACAGGGGAATTTTGCAGGCTAGGTAAAGAGAGCTATATTTTATGCTTATAATTGCACTTTCACCTTCTAGAACTATTGAGGAGTGTTTGTATCGGATATTTATTAAATGTTTTGTGTCTTTGAACAGACCATATCTCATGTCAAAAGTAATACATTTCCTTAGAGCTGCTTTTAATATGGTTAAATAAATCACTATGGAGATGCTCTGTATGCAGGTTCACAATAGACAAAAAGTTAATAAAAATTCACAAAATAAACTTTGTTACCTCATGGCTTGCAGAATGGTCTCTTTTCACTAGTCTTTTGTTCTGCTGCCCCTTGAAGATCTAAAAAAAAACATGTATGATGAAATGCATCGCATCACCGTTTGTCTGGCATTTCTGTTAAGAAGCTGATATATTTAAAAGTTGAACTTACTGGATAAGAACAGGCTATGGTCAAAAGACTGGATAAGAAAAAAATATTCATTGTGTTTTCTCAACAAAGCTCCCTAAAAGAAAAAACAACACACGACAATCAGAAAGACATATCTGTATTGTGTATCTGTATTTTACAGGAAGCACACAAGATTCCAGTATTATGACAACAGCCTCTTCTGAACATACTGTATGTGTACAGTATACAGTATAAAATCACACATGTTCTATTGCTGCTTAATCTACAAAAACACAATGAATATCTAATCAGCAGAAATTCTTCTATGTACAAATGGATACTGAAAATGCAATAATCTACAGTTTGCATTCTTGGCAAAAGTTGTAGATACTGTTCGTGCTTTTCTGTTTTTTTGGTCTCACACAGACATTACGATGAAATTCCTATGTAATTAAAGCACGTCTGCACTTGTACATAATTGCTGTATGTTCCTCTTTAACAAGCTTAGATCCATAATATTTTCCCAGAATTTACACATCATTTGTTTATTTAATGAATTATTCTGGACAAGAATCAGACAAGAAAATCAATTGATTATTTATTTAGCATTTTAATCCAAATTGTACTGGTATTGGACCTTTTATTGACTTGGTTGAAACAAAACAACAAAACCCAACCATTATATTGGAAGGTGCTGTAAGTTTAAAGCACATCTATACTTCAAAGCTGAACCAGTATTTCAGAAAATTGTGATTGGTTTGATCAGCTGTATCATTTAAACAGTTGTTTATAAATACTCTGTTGTACCAGTAAACTATTCCTAACTATTGTAGGCAGAGATAAAAAAACAAAATAAATGGATGACTAATAGATTTCTGAGTCCGAAATTAAAACAAACATTAAAATGGAAGTGTCAGTGCTGAATTACCTGGATGTAAGACTGTGCAGTTCCTTTAGTATCTGTGTCTCAGCTGCAATGCTTGAAATTGGTTTCCAGTGCTACAGAATATTGTCCTTGTCCTTACTGGCTGGAGTCTGCCATTCAACTGACTGTTTTCTGAGTGTGAAACAGGGGGTGATGCTTTGTTAAAGATAGGTATGATTTCATTAGCTGAATCATTTCCCATCTCCCAGGGAAGCTTCATTCTGTTGTTTTTTTTTAGCAGAGCCAAGGGGAATACCACTGAAGTCTGATTTTCCTTGTGGTTGGTCTTAGCGAGTCTTATATACAGCAGTCACCTCAACCATTTAATCTGTGAAAGATAAGTCATATTGGGATTCATATTAGCAAAGGTGTCACAAGTATTTTGACATGTATGCACACGTACTGTATACTGTATATTAAACACACACAGGCTAGAGTATTTGCTGCCTTTTTAACCTATGTACAGAATAATATAATTGTCAATCTGTGTATTAGTTAATAGTTAAACTGGTTATTTTAATATTACATTTTGATCAATAGGTCGAACATTGTTTTGCAGTGCAGTTTAGAACCAGATCAATTCTGATTATCAGCATTTGTATTTTTTGTCTCTAACATATGAAGGGTATTCCATTAAGGAGACAAAGAACGAGATATTTAAAGGACAGTTCAATCAGAAAATAAAGGATTTAATTTTAAAAACAACCAACATGTTAAACAGGAAAGAATATTTAGTTCAGCCACATCATGGTAAAAACTAAATACCCTTCGTGATTGCGGTCAAAAGAAGGATTGTATTGGTCACCAGCATAAAGTGTGTGATTTGGCTACTATTTTTTTTTCCTGTCTAAGACTTGTTGATTCTTTCTCTATGGCTTATAATGCTCAGTGAGAAAAAAAATAATTTTGAAAGCCAGATTTGGTCAGTGCATTTCTAACAGTGACAGTGGAGTTGTGTACACAATACTAAGCAATGGCAATGAAAGTATCCACTAGCCCTCCTGTGTTACTAACTGGGAGCTAAAATACCATTTTTCATTGTAAGCGCACCTGACAGAACATTTCACTGTAAGAACACCAGCCCCTCAAGACCAGGACTGGGGACACTTTACATGTTTATTGTAATTCCAAAATGAAGAAGGTAAATAAAAATAAATAAAAGAGTAAAACACATTTCTATATTAGAAATATTTCCAGGGTGCATCTTATACAGTCTGTGTTTGTAACAGAAAAACTGGTTCACACGTTTGTTTTTCTGAGGATTGACGGTTGCAGTCCTCTGTTTGCAGTAGTCTGTAAAACTGCGCTTCACAAGCTACAGAATTTTCAGAACCTTAGCTTCGGCAGGTCACACCACTTCTGTCTTGGGCGTCTTGTATTGACTTCTGATTGCCTCTAACTGATGTGTACATATCAGGGATTCATACCTATTGGGTGCTTTTATTTATAGCCAGAAAACTGGCTTTTTGTGCTTGTTTTATCTTCTGTATTTGTTTTCAGCTTTTTAATGTTAGTTTTTGTGTCCAATCCTCTTCATGTATTGCCCAGCACCTTTTGACAATTGCTTTCAAAGCTTCTACAGTACATAATATAGTTTTTACTAGTTGCTGTGCTCTCAATATTTGGAGAAAAGGTACATAGGCATGGGTTATAATGAAGCCAGGACAAATATTTAATATTTTAAAAAGTATATTTAATAAAAACATATAAAAATAAAGTGTTCGCCCGTGGCAAAAACAATTTTAAATACTAAGAAAAACTGTGCGGTATTTGTGAGTCAATACACCTGACCACTCTCTGAATACAGCACATGTTTCAGACGCTCCAACAATGTCAACCAAGAGGAAGAAGCGAACATTTGTTAAAACGCGACATTTTTCTGCACTTTTAATCAGGAAATGACAGCCCTGTCTTTGGAAAGAGAAGCCATGTGCAGACATCTCCTCCAAATATAAAAGATGAAGAATTATTTCCAAAACCTTCTTTGGCACTTTGAGGTTGTTTTAGATGTCACCCCTTTCTTCAGTTGTGCTAATGACACCGGTGACCCTAGTGGTCACAACAGGTGTTGCAGGCGTTGTCGTTGAGGCAGTAACAGGAGCTGCAGCAGTTGTAGTCAGGGGATTGGCCGAATCGACAGGCGCTTCTGAAGTAATCAGACTCTGGCTTGTGCTCCATGCTCTGCTCAAAGCCTCTGTGGTCACTTTAGGTGGGTATGTGGTGGTAGTGGTCACAACCGGTGTTGCAGGCGTTGTCGTTGAGGCAGTAAAAGGAGCTGCAGCAGTTGTAGTCAGGGGATTCACCGAATAAACAGGCCCTGCTGAAGTAATCAGACTCTGGCTTGTGCTCCATGCTCTGCTCACAGCCTCTGTGGTCACTTTAGGTGGGTATGTGGTGGTGCGAGCAGGCTTTCTTGGCTGTCAAAAATATGCCACACATCATGCATCAGTTTTGAAATCCACATCCACTATCGTTCACTTGGACTTATGTTACATCATCATTTACGTCATGATCTTTATTTTATATCATGCCTTCCATAATACTTCACCACCGGACGTATACTGCACATTATATATACCATATATATGATCTATCGAAAGAAGAATTAATAAAAGATACAAAAGTTAAAAGACACTTGTTCTCTTTGTTCAGATACATTTCACCTCAAAACTATGTGGTTTGAATAAAAATATTTTCTGTCTCGCACACTCACAGTAACCAAAATGATGTATTTTTATTCCTGCGGCAGTGTTATATTATCCACGGGTTTAGGAGCATGAAGTCCCTACTTAAGGTAATTTTATCTGATATCTAAGTAACCTGGCATTCTCCTTCCCCTCTATGAGATATTATAAAGTGAACCAGCAGTGCAAATCTGCATGGCATCCAGTTACTTTCCATGGGAGTAAATCAAATTAGCAACGACTGAATACAGTTAACCACAATTTCATTTGAGTTTCCACATCCCTCAATTTTATTATCATTATTGTTATTTTGAGTTCTAAATATTATTTAGCATTTTGCTGTAAAAGAGAACATGCTTACACATGGGTGGAAAGGACGACGAATTATCTCCTGGAAACAGAAAATAGAAAGGTTTTCAATTACAGCACTCAGTTACATATTATTGTTTTGTAATTAAAAAAGTCAACTTTAAAGTTACACTCTCACTTTGACTTCCTTTCACTTTGACTTTTTCTTCTGCTTTAATTTCTTAATAAACTGACAAATTTAACCTGTGTATCACCTTCATTTATCTTTCATGATTCTCTTGAAACTCCTTCTTTTTAAAGTATTGTCTGTTTATTTGATGATTTGTCACATAGTGTAAAGAAAACTTTGATCTACACTAAATACAGAGTTTCAGGAATGAGCTTTATAAAATCCTAAAAAAAGAAAAACTCACCCAGCCTCCTAAAGTTGACCAATGTCTGTTAAAATGGTGTTTAGGCCTAAACTAAAGGAGAAATAAAGCAGATGTTTCTCATTGAAGAAATGTGTGATCGAAATTCAAGATTATGTAAGTAACTAAAAATATAACTATGAAAATATAACTAATAAGCAATTTTCCTATTTTTCAAATAGCTATTGATACTGAATAACTACTTCTGATATAAATATTTATGCTCATTGCTTGTTCTATGCCTTCTACTGCTGAGATAATTACTATGTGGTGTATTTGCTATCTGTGCAGTCATTTTAAAAATGAATAAAAATAAGCCTATTGATATTTCTGAGTCTGATTAACATGTTTAGGTGACCTGTGTGTCTGCATTAATTCTTTCTTAGCCAGGCTTCTAGAGGTGTTGGCAGATGTTTTTAATGAGGTTCATCAAATTTGTGCTGCATAATTGTCTGTGCTGTCACTTTGTTACCTGTTGTTTAGAATCCTCTGTGACCCACAAAATAGCCAACTTACGTGATTGTGTAGTGTTTTCTCATGAACAGGGTGAATGTAGGAAATCTTAGAGGAAAGAAATGTGGAGATTAATGGTAAAATGCACACTGAAAATTTAGATTCAAACTTCTATACAGATAAAAAGAAGCCTAGTTTTATACTGTGTACATGTAATGTGTACTGTTTACTCAAGTAATGGAGTGTAGGCATCATAATGCAGTAGAACATTACTTTTCATTTTCTTTAGAGCAGATGTTTGAAATATCAAGTGGTTCCCAATAAAAAAAAAACTTTGAAAGCTCAATTGTGTTAGTTTCTTTCATTTTAATGGTATGCTTAGAATATGCAATTATTTTCCTAAACACATATTTTAGAACTTAGTACATGTAACATACTCTTTTTTTTTGCATATAATGAGTTATTTAAATACTCCCAAAATGTACGTTAAATTTCTTTTAAAATATTTTCTTACCTTCTTGCTGCTTGCCAAGTGTCTCTGAGGGTGCAGAATGTCGAACATCTGTACCAGACGAAGATGAACACAGCATGTTTAGTTTCACTTCATGGGTTCACTTCTTAGAACAATTAATAGTGATTTAAAAAAAAACCATGACAGGAATATACTATAAGTGTACCTACTATGCACAGGATTAACAGGAGTAACAATGCAATTTTCCTACATATTATCCAATTTATTAATCTCAAGTTAATAATTGCATTTTTTTCTCTTAATTTTGATATACTGTAGTTAAAACCAATTGATTGTGAGAGAATTAGTCATGTGGCTTGTTTGCTAGTTAGCCATAGAATCAATATTACTGGCACAAGTAATAAGAGCTGCTTTAGAAATGTGAAGACTTACAGGAAGACAGCTTACTGCACACAGAAGGGCAGAAAGCAGAACCAGTACCTTAATCATCTTTAGGCCTGTGGATGAAGGTTTTCATTGTCAATAAATTTGACATTTTTCACAAACGATACATCAACAATCTCAGAAATCATTAGCCAATGCATAGCTCCAGATATGTAACTTATTGAAAATGACTTTGAATTCAATGAAGACAAAACTTTTTACAAAACACCTTTTTCATAATCAGCACACCAAACTTTTGGTTTTATTTTAACAACTTTGACCAATAGAAATTTTACACCATGGATTTAGCAAGATTTTTTTGTATACATTTCTAAAAGGTTTACATTCCTAATTTCTAACATAAGATTTAGGTGCTTTGAGATCAATTATATTATTGTAAAAGGCAAAACATACTGTAACTGGATGTTTGGATGTATTTAAAATATAGAATATCAGTCTTCCTAGCATGTTTTGTATTCTAAATTCTTAATCTGGCTTTATGGTAAGTCATCAGATAAACTGTCGGTTTTCACAGCATCAAAATCTAACAGTTTTCCTTGCATTGATTTATAAATTCTAATAGGTTAAGTAGTCAATAAATTTCCAAAGTTCACAACATTCAGAAGAAAAGCAACTGAAATCACAGACAAATATAGAAAGGTGTACAACTTTATTATATTATAGACAAAATCTAGAAAAATGTATTCATTATATTTTATTCTTATGTAAATTTCTGTGTAATGTAGCCTTTCAGTTTAGTATAGAAATTTGATTATTTTTTAAGGTTAGCTGGCAGGTTATCATTTACTGAACACCCACTCACTTTGCAGTTTCGAAAGTATCTCAAATGTCACACTTGTTGGTGGCACAAGTCGCCCTGCTTCTCCTGTGAATGTAATGTGCTTAGACAAGGAACATAAGGTAATTAATTAGGTAAAGTCCTTTTTACTTTTGTTGAAAATAAGTGATCACAAGGATAGAATTATCATGTTTTCCACAAGACACAAATATGAAAACTGAGGTTAAACTCTGAAATGTGAAGACCTGTCTGATTAGATACATAACGTGCAGAACATTAAATTAGTACCTGTAATTATTAGAAAGGTTTAGTGCAAAGCCATAATGTTAATTATTAGGACATAATAATAAATAATAAGTGTTAAATTACCAAAATCCTACTGTCTTCTTTATGGTAATGAATGATTTGGATTAATTTGAATTTTAAGCGCTGTATGTTTTCACATAATGTAGCACGCTAATGTGAAAATATTAAATCAAAACTAAATTGTTCATTTTTTTCTACAGCTCTTACCTGTCTTCTGATCTGTAATGAAGAAAAAATCCAGGTTCTAGAAACAATCTGGAAATTGTGCCGCTCTTCTCTGATTCTTTAGCTGTTTATCCTGCTTATATACAGTTGTAGTCGTAGATGAGATGAAGTCATCACACAAGAAAGTTCTGATCTTGTCAATACAATTCATTTCCACGCTATATTTACAACATGTAAACTCCTTCATTCCTTAATGTGAACAAACATCCGGCAGTGACTATGACTGAATTTAATGATATGTTACAGGTCGCACCTCGGAGACGAGACAAAACAGGCAGTTGTCGGAATAATCCAAACAAATCTCAGTTTTACTCCTTATGAGCCTTCATACTGACATTGCAAAACTTTAATAATGAATCATAAACTTATTGATTTGAATTTCATTGAATTGTGAATTTCCTTGAATTGACCGTCTATATTTCTGTGTTCGAAAGCTAATCAATGCATTACAAAATAATGACAGGATTATGTACATACAACATTTAATGTGTTTTCTTTTAATGCCTGTTTCACAGAATACATGTTGTTGTTCAATATTTTAATTTTCCTAAGAATATTCAAAGACAAAGGACTAAAGGGACCTCTATTGTGTGTTTGACTGTAGTGACCTTTTCAGCGGAAAAAAAAACAATTCGAAATGGCCATACGATAGTAAAACATTATGTTAGTACCCTTTCCCTGACCGTTATCTTTAATACCTTGAAAAGACGCAGCATTAACGAAGTATGATTGCATTTTGAAAGCGTGAATGTTCTTGGATTAAATATACTTACAAAAAGTAAACAAACAAGTGTGTCTAGCTTGTGGATCGTGCTTTAGAACAATTATGTGTTTTAGAAAGAATGTAAATTATGTGTGTATCTCTGGTTAAGTCAATGACTAGAGGACGTGCAGTCCGGTATCTGACAAATTAACCTGCAGAGGTTTCAACACCTTTCGTCTGACAAATACCTAAAGGCATGCAAAATGAGCAATGCAACTGACAAAGATGATTAATAGAAACATATTTGAGCCTTAATATGCGTCATTATGGATTTAACATCATAATTAATGGCCTTATAATTGTTTTGCTAAGAAAATGCCTTTAATCAGGACGACTTACAAGACCGACAATTATACACAAAGTAAATGTATTGCAAAAACACTGTATATAAAATAATTCAAGTATGGAGAAAAGTTAAGTAAACAAAAAATACAAGGAACGGTGAGACAGGCACTGAAAATGATACCCAGTGAGTGGTGAACAATATGCTTGTGAGGACTGACTGATTACGGTACAGAAGGAAAGCCACCGATCAGACAGCAGTGTGACAGTGGCTGACGGTGTGAAGGAGGTCCCAGTTGTTTTCTGGAGAGACGCAGAAGAGTGGGGAGGGGCTGAGCATTTGTAATTGATGGAAACCACAATGAAAATGCCCGTTCTATAGTCTCTCAATGTGTTCTGTAATATAATACCAGAAATGTTGTGAACCTTCTGAAAACGCTAGTTATGTGAAGAGACATGCTAGAGAATGCTAGTTTATGGCATTTGTCATTCATGTGTTCATGTAAAACTGTAAAAGTTGTAAATAGTAAGTACATTATTTACATGTTGAACATGAAACACAAACTTTTCCAGATTAAAACATGTTGAAAACATCCAAATCCAATTTTATATATAAGTTGTCAGGAAATTGTTTGCTCTTTATTTACTTTTTCTATAAAAATGATTTTTTAGAACATTGTGCTCAAAAATATATCATAAAGCAGACCCAATAAAAACAATTTCACAAAAACATTTGTTGTTTAAAAAAAAGGATGAGAACAGATGTATTTATGAAGTTTTACATCTTTATTAATTCAGAATAACTACAATGCATTTAGAAAAAAATACAAAATATTGCTGTTTTAAACAATTAAAAAAATGAACAGTAATGTTGTAGTAAACATATTGATTCCAAGAAGGGTAGAATAGACCAAAAAAAAGTAACAAAAAACAGCAAGAAATCAAAATCCCAACAAAACATGCAAAATAACTTTGTCTTCGCTTTAAGCTAATTGCAAAGGAAGATTTTCATCAAGATGACTTAAATTATAGACACACTAAAAAAACGTTGCCGTTTAATTTTTTAAGGTTGTTTTGTATTTATTTATTTAAAAACCGCTGTGGCGACGGATCAAAATCTCCATCTCTCCCGCTCTTCTTCATTAGTAATAGTAGTGATTCTCCTCGGCCTGAGCCGGGCTGTCGTGTACGACACAGGGCACGCGGCTGTCGCCGTGAATGGCGTCGGCTGCGGCTAGAATGATGCCCTCTGCGTCCGGATTCACGGGATCGACAAATCCGGGCTGCTCACCGTTGCCGTAGGGCCCGTGGGGCCCCTTGTTACACGGCACCTGGACAGGGGGTTTCCTGATCCCTGAAGGGTTCCTCTTCGCCCCCTCGGAAGGGAAGAAGGGGATGTTGAGGGCCGGACTGCCCTTCCCCATGGGCGCCGGGGTGGTGGCGTCTTCCCCGCCCGGTTCCGCGAAGCCCTGGGTGGCGCCCGCGCTGGGAGAGGGGGTGACCTTGCGCACGCCAGCCGGCCACATCACCCCGGCGAAGGGATCCAGGTTGGGATACAGGGGGTTCGTTCCCGGGACGGGGAAGCCGCCGGCGACCCCAGGGGAGCTCGGGCCGGCGTTCGGCCCGCTGTCGCCCCTGCCGGGGAGGTTGGGGCCCACGGCCGGGGTGTTGCCGCCTGGTCCTGCGGGGGCGCCCTCGGGCTTGGGCGGAGAGCTTCCCGGGGTGTTGGGGCCGCCCTCAGCGGCCGGCTGATTGCCGGCGCCGTTGGCAGCGGTGCCGTTGGCGCTGGCCGCCGCTCCTGCCCCTTCCGTGTTGGTGGGAACTCCGCCGGGGGTAGGGGGCAAGTCTTCGGCCTTGGGTGCCTCTGTGGCCGCGGGTGCTTCTGGCTTCCCGGGGGATTCCGACTCCTTCTCGTTGACTTCGTTTATTTCCTCAGAGAGGGGGGCGCGACGTCCGAAATTCCCGAATCCGAAGGGGCCGTAGCCGTAAAAGGATGGTACGTAGCCACCGTACTGAGGCTGGAACAGAGGGGAGGCGGGTTCAGAGAGGTTCTGAACATCATCCGGTTCCTGATCAACACTAAAGGGGGAGGGGGGGAAATATGGCACGACTGAAATATTCTGACCGCATTGAAATAAAACTCAAAATATTACCGCTCCTGCCTCCTCTGACTCTGCGGGGGCTGCTGTGTTAGGGCCCATCTGAAAAAAAGTTTAAAAGTTAATTTTAGACAGACAGCGAAGTACGAAAGCGAAGTAGATCGATTTGGAGTGTATGCGCAGATCGATTTCGGATGCAAGGGAAGCAGTTTGGTATGCGCTTACCCCAGCCATTGGTGGAAGATGCACGTACACGACTTTCGGAAAATCCTGCTAAATTGAAAGAAATTTTGGGAATGTTAATTTGTGTA